AAAAAAAAAAAAAAAATTGTTGTTTATTACCACGTTGGGAATGGCTTGTTATATAGCAATCGCTACCTGATACAGTCATTTCCATCAATATCAATGTTCTCTGGATTGATGGGAAGGTAGGAACCTTTGGCTTTCTCAGTGAGCTTCCATGGGCATAAATATTAGATTACAAGGCAGCATTGTTGCTTGGGTCCCTGTGCACCAGAACGCAGGTAGGCAGAAATTATCTACCCTTGCCTACTCAGCAAACACAAAAATAAGAAGCATAGGGGGCTGAGAATGTGGCTTAGTGGTAGAGTGCTTGCCTCGCATGCATGAAGCTCTGGGCTCGATTCTGAGTACCACAAAACCAGAAAAAGCCAGAAGTAGCTCTGTGGCTCAAGTGATAGAGTGCTAGCCTTGAGCAAAGAAGCTTAGGGACAGTGCCCAGGCTCTGAGTTCAAGTTCCAGGACTGGAAAAAAGAAAAAGAAAAAAATCATAATGGAGGAAGACCAGGCTATCCCTTTGTCATTTGAACAAATTTTTTGTACAAACAAAAAATTTTGGGGGGGTTGGTTGTAGGTCTTGAATTCTGGGCCTAGGTGCTGTCCCTCGGCTCTTCAGCTCAAGGCAAGGGTTCTACCACTTGAGCCACAGCGCCACTTCTGGTTTTCTGGTGGTTAATTGGAGATAAGAGTCTCTCAGATGTTCCTGCCTGGGTTGGCTTTGAACCATGATCCTCAGATCTCAGCCTCCTGAGTAACTAGGATTACAGGCATGAGCCACCAATGCCTAGCAACTATTGTTTCTTTAAAGGAACTTTGTTCTTTGGAAGACTATAGAAACAATGAAGAGAGGGAGATATAAAGATAAATAACTTGGTGCTCCTGTTGGGCCTCTTATTTTCTCTTAGCTTTTTTACTGAAGGCTGGTCCTCCACAATTTGAGCCTCACCTCCACTTTGGCTCTTACTGCTGAATTGGGAGATTAGAGTCTCTTGGGTTTGATTGCCCCAGCTGGCTTCTTGATTCTCAGATCTCGGCCTCCTGAATAGCTAGGATTATAGCCATGAGCCAACAGTGCCTGCTTTGAGCACTCTGTGAAAACAAAAATCGTTCATTTCAAGTACCTGGAATTGGGAAGAAATAAGAACCTTCCTGAAGAGAGGCCCACCGTCCCACTACTTAAGGCTTCTTCAGATGAGGAGTGCGCTTACAGGCTCTCTTAGCACCCAGCTTAGCTCGGAGAAGCACTGAAAGAGATCCCTACTTGACTTCTGTCTTTTCTCTTCTCTCTTTTTTCTTTTCTTCCCCCCCCCCTCCAATATATCACTATGTAGCTTGAGCTGGCCTCAAACTAACAATCTTCCTGCCTCAGCAACCTGAGTGCTGGGATCAGACCTGGCATCCTACTTGGCTCTTGTAGGTAACATGTCCCTGCTTTACTTGTACCTCTGACATCTTTAATCACCACTGCAGCCTCAGCATGCTTCATGAGAGACATTCATGCACTTTGGTGAGTCCATTTCTACTCATTGCTCTGGGACCTTGGAAAAAGCCAAAGATTCTTCACCTGTAGGAAACTGTCTTTGATTTGTTTGTATTTTGGAGAGCTCCATTTCCCCCATCCCTGGACCTTAGTTTTTCTTGTTCAGGGTTGGTGTGCTCTACCACTTGAGCCACAGTTCCACTTACAGCTTTTTTGGTGGTAAATTGGAGATAAGAATCTTAATGAATTTGTCTGCCAGAATGATTTCAAACCTTAATCCTCCCACCTCAGCCTCCTGAGTACTCAGAATCAAAGTTGTAAACCACAGGTGTCCAACTCAGATATTATTTTTAAGTTGTGATAAAATACATGTAACATAAAATTTACTGCCTTAAGTATTGTGGAGTAAGCAGTTCAGTAGTGTTAAGTACAGTCAGATTGTAGTGCCATCATTTGCAGCATTATCTTCAGAACTTTTGTGTCTTGCAAAACTGTTTACTCATGAAACAATAGCTCCCATTCTCACTTCCTCTAAGTGGTGGAAGTCACTTTTTACTTTCTATCTCACTGAAGCCAACAACTCTGGGTATCTTATGTGAGACCATACATTTGTTGTTTTTTGTGAGTGGCTCATTTCACTTCGCCTCGTGTTCTAAAGTTCATCTATGTTATAAATAGCAAGACTTACTTCTTTAAGTCTTAAGATTCCAATATGTATACCATATTTTCCCTACCATTCCATCCACCGATGGACATCTGGGTTTATTCCACAACTTGACATACTGTGCTGCTTCCTCAGTACCACCCATATGAGGAACAAGTTACGAGTCAAAGCAGGGACTGGGGAGGGAGGGCAGCCTCCATTTTTTCCACGCCCACAGAAACCAAGTGCCAGCATGAACTTAGGTGTATCTATCTAGTAGCAGGGTCCTCTGTGTGTGTGTGTGTGTGTGTGTGTGTATGCACATGCGCGCATGCATGCACAGGTGAACACACTGGTCCTAGGGCTTGAACTCAGGGCCTGGACACTGTCCCTGAGCTTTATTGCTCAAGGCTAGTGCCCTACCACTTGAGCCACAGCTCCACTGGTGGTTAACTGGAGAGAACTGTCTCATAAACTTACCTGACCCATCTGGCTTTGAACCACAATCCTAAGATCTCAGCCTCCTGGGTAGCTAGGATTACAGGTATGAACCACTGGTTTCCAGCTATCCTTTGGGACTTTAGCTACAGATGTGCTCTAGATACAGGGACAATTGCTTTTCTTAAGGCATATTTGTGCTGGTGACCATTTGCTTGAATGCATAAATCAATCCAGACAGTCCTCCAGGGCACTAGGTTCATTTAAGTTTGAATGAACTTTTATACAACATCAGCCATAGCCATCTATTTTTAAAATCTCATTGTTGGCAGGCACTTATGTGCAAATAGTAGATATGGAGGTAGATGTTCTGGGCTAAATCAGGGTTCACCACATACTAGTCCCTCAACTCTAGTTTCATTCTCTACTATAAAAAGACATTAAGGACTGGGAATGTGGCTTAGTGGTAGAGTTCTTGCCTAGCATTCATGAAGCCCTGAGTTCAATTTCTCAGTAATACATAAACAGAAAAAGTCAGAAGTGGTGCTGTGGCTCAAGTGATAGAGTGCTAGCCTTAAGCAAACACATGTCAGGGACAGTGCTCAGGCCCTGAGTTCAAGCCCCAGGACTGGCAAAAAAAAGGCATCAAAATTAAAACAAGCATCAAGGTTCTTTGCAGGTTGGGACAGTATGCAGTTCGGTGGTAGGGTGCTTACCTTGTGTGCAACAAAGCCCTAGGTCTGATCCCCAAAACAGGAAAAAATAAATTTAAAAAGGTTTTGTTTTTGAGAGGTGGGAGGGGCAACAGCGGTGAGCTGGGCACCAGTGGCTCAGGTCTGTACGCCTAGCTATTCAGGAGGCTGAAATCTGAGAGTCATGGTTAAAAGCCAGAATGGGCAGGAAAGTCCATGAGATTCTTTTTTTTTTTTCTTTTTTTTGATTCAGTTGTGTGCCTGAACTCTGGGCCTGGGTGCTGTCCCTCAGCTCTTCAGCTCAAGGCTAGTGCTTGAGCCACAGCGCCACTTCTGGCTTTTTTTCTTTTTGCTAATGTGTTGCTGAGGAATCGAACCCAGGGCCTCATACATGCAAGGCAAGCACTCTACCACTGAGCCACCTTCCCAGCCCAA